CAGAGGCCCGAGACTGTTCAACACGCTTCCACTACACATAAGGGGCATAACTGGCCGACCCTTCACAGTGTTCAAGAGAGAACTGGATAAGCACCTCCAAATGATACCTGATCAACCAGGCTGTGACTCATACGTCAGGCTGCGAGCAGCCGCGTCTAACAGCCTGGTTGATCAGTCCAGCAACCAGGAGGCCTGGTCGACGCCCGGGCCGCGGGGACACTAAGCCCCGGAAGCACCTCAAGGTAACCTCAAGGTACATACAGGATTATCCCTCTGTCCCTTCCTCCCTCCCTTTCTTCCTTCCTTCCTTCCACTCATATTTCCTTCCTGCCTTCCGTTCTCCCTTCCTTCCTTTCTCCAGATGTTCTTAGTGACCGTAGAGAGTGGTGCAGTTGTTAGTGATCCCAGAAGGTGGAGATGTTGATAATAACTCCCCCCCCCCCCTCACAAGAGGGTTGTGGCAATGTTTGTATATAGTGACCGCCAGGTGTTAGGGGGGTGGTGATGACCCCAGAGGGTTATAAAGATGTCGGTATTGACCCCAGAGCGTGGTGGAGATGATACTAATGACTTCACTCAGTAATCGCAATACTGTTAGTGTGTTCTCTTTCTTCACTTTTCACTTGGGGAACCGAATTTAGGACGAATCAATGTAGATATAAATATATATATTTTAATTAAGGAGGCCATCCTTGTTGACCAAACCACACACTAGAAAGTGAAGGGACGACGATGTTTCGGTCCGTCCTGGACCATTCTCAAGTTGATTGAGGCCGTCCTTCTAAACACTTTCCCAACGTCAAAAAACTGTGGTACTAAAGTGCCCTTATCCTAACCTAGCAGAGGACCCAAAACAGAAAACGGGACAGTACGTCAATTTCGCGAGCCGCTACCAGTATCTAGCACGACTATTTTTGGTCGTAGGTAGAGTGTACGTCAAAATGTGACCTGTTAGGAGGACGGGTTGGATTACAAACGACTGCTGCGAACTCGGTGAGTACTTTATTTACTCCAAGAAGGATAATATTTTCACAAAATATATATCTTAAAAGAAATTCAGGAACACAAAATTCGAATTCTTTCTGAAAATATAACTGTCTTCATTCAAGTAATCAAACTGGAATTTGCTTCAACAATAAATCCTGATCCACTCAATGGATTCAAAATGAACACGGAATTTTCTGGTTTTCTGGCGTGGAGAGAGAGAGAGAGAGAGAGAGAGAGAGAGAGAGAGAGAGAGAGAGAGAGAGAGAGAGAGAGAGAGAGAGAGAGAGATAGAGAGAGAGAGAGAGAGAGAGAGAGAGAGAGAGAGAGAGAGAGAGAGAGAGAGAGAGAGAGAGAGAGAGAGAGAGAGAGAGAGAGAGAGAGAGAGAGAGAGAGAGAGAGAGAGAGAGAGAGAGAGAGAGAGAGAGAGAGAGAGAGAGAGAGAGAGAGAGAGAGAGAGAGAGAGAGAGAGAGAGAGAGAGAGAGACAGACAGACAGACAGACAGACAGAGAGAGAAAGAGAGCGAGACCAAGCAAGGTTCTCGTGTAATTTATACGGAGGAGAAAATCCATCATATAGAAACTGAGTGCCGGATCAGATTTACACACACACACACACACACACACACACACACACACACACACACACACACACACACACACACACACACACACATACACAGTAGGGGTAGGGGCCTCGTAGCCTGGTGGATAGCGCGCAGGACTCGTAATTCTGTGGCGCGGGTTCGATTCCCGCACGAGGCAGAAACAAATGGGCAAAGTTTCTTTCACCCTAAGTGCCCCTGTTACCTAGCAGTAAATAGGTACCTGGGAGTTAGTCAGCTGTCACGGGCTGCTTCCTGGGGTGTGTGTGTGTGTGTGTGTGTGGTGTGGGAAAAAAAAAAAAAAAAAAAAAGTAGTTAGTAAACAGTTGATTGACAGTTGAGAGGCGGGCCGAAAGAGCAAAGCTCAACCCCCGTAAAAACACAACTAGTAAACACACACACACACACACACATACACACACACAAACACACACATCCGAGACGGTGATCGCTTCTCCGTCGAGTGATTTATAATTTGTAAGACAAACTTCAGATTTTCTTCTGCACCGTCAGGTCTGGGTAGGTCAGGTCAGGTCAGGTCAGACGACATGCTGGCAAGACTAAAACGCGCACTTGGACCGAAAAACACAATGTTACCTAATATTATGATAACCAATCCCCTGAGGGGGGATATGTTATCATAATATCTCCTGGGGTGGCCCGGGGGGGGGGATGATGGGGGAATAAATGTGTTTTGTCATGTTTGTTTCATGTTTGTTTCATTTGGTCTCTGTCAGAAGGTTTGCAACAGCTTCGGGCAACAGGTGGGGGGGGGGGGGGTGTCGTTAGCGTCAGTCTGTCAAGTTAAGCATTACTGCATCGTGCAAGTCAATGGATTGGGTGATCATTTTACCCTCTCCCACCGGCTGATATTTACCTCAGGGAGTAACTTGATAACCAAACAAGCTCTCAGTTCTACTGAAATTTCATCCTAGGCTGAGGAATATGTACATCAATTGAGTGACAGTTGAGAGGCGGGACCAAAGAGCTGAAGCTCAACCTCCAGCAAGCAAAACTAGATGAGTACACACATTCACACACACCCACACAACAAATGGATGTTGAAGTTCAACCCGAGTAAATGCCAAGTAATGAAACTAGGCAGTGGAAACAGGAGGCCAGACACAGGATACAGAATTGGATATGAAGTACTTAATGAAACGGACAGAGAGAAAGATCTAGAAGTTGATATTTCACCACACATATCTCCTGAAGCCCACATAAAAAGAATAACGTCTGCGGCATATGCGAGGCTGGCTAACATCAGAACAGCGTTCAGGAACCTGTGTAAGGAATCATTCATAATCTTGTACACCACATATGTAAGACCAAGCCTGGAGTATGCGGCCCCAGCATGGAGCCCATACCTTGTCAAGCAGAAGACGAAGCTGGAAAAAGTCCAAAGGTATGCCACTAGGCTAGTCCCAGAACTAAGAGGCATGAGTTACGAGGAAAGGCTGCGGGTAATGCACCTTACGACACTGGAAGACAGAAGAGTAGGGGAGACATGATCGCAACCTACAAAATCCTCAGAGGAATCGACCGGGTAAACCAGGATAAACTATTCAACACTGGTGGGACGCGAACAAGGGGACACAGGTGGAAACTAGGTACCCACATGAGCCACAGAGACGTTAGAAGGAACTTTTTCAGTGTCAGAGTAGTTAACGGATGGAATGCCTTAGGCAGTGATGTGGTGGAGGCTGACTCCATACACAGTTTGAAATGTAGATATGATAGAGCCCTGTAGGCTCAGGAATCTGTACACCAGTTGATTGACAGTTGAGAGGCGGGACCAAAGAGCCAAAGCTTAACCCGCCGCAAGCTCAACTTGGTGAGTACAACTAGGTGAGTACACAGCACACATGTCACACAGCACTTACTTGCTCCGTGACAATACCCCAAGGAGGATTGACTGGGAACCAGTTGACAACTGTTCGCCTCCCTCTTCCCCCCAGCTGCATCTATTGGGTTCTAACGAGTAAACCGATAATGTATCTTGTTCCAGGGATAAACTTGGGGGTGTACACAAGGTTTACCATGCCCTATGGGGGCAGGGAAACCTCTCAGCCTAGTAGCATCAAAGTGTGGGGTAGTCTTAAGGAGTGAATACGTCAGCTAATGTACTCTTCAAGAGTGAATACGTCAGCTAATGTACTCTTCAAGAGTGAATACGTCAGCTAATGTACTCTTCAAGAGTGAATACGTCAACTAATGTACTCTTCAAGAGTGAATACGTCAACTAATGTACGCTTCAGGAGTGAATACGTCAACTAATGTACTCTTCAAGACTGAATACGTCAACTAATGTACTCTTCAAGAGTGAATACGTCAACTAATGTACTCTTCAAGAGTGAATACGTCAACTAATGTACTCTTCAAGAGTGAATACGTCAACTAATGTACTCTTCAAGAGTGAATACGTCAACTAATGTACTCTTCAAGAGTGAATACGTCAACTAATGTACTCTTCAAGAGTGAATACGTCAACTAATGTACTCTTCAAGACTGAATACGTCAACTAATGTACTCTTCAAGAGTGAATACGTCAACTAATGTACTTTTCAAGAGTGAATACGTCAACTAATGTACGCTTCAAGAGTGAATACGTCAACTAACGTACTCTTCAAGACTGAATACGTCAACTAATGTACTCTTCAAGACTGAATACGTCAACTAACGTACTCTTCAAGAGTGAATACGTCAACTAATGTACTCTTCAAGAGTGAATACATCAACTAATGTACTCTTCAAGAGTGAATACGTCAACTAATGTACTCTTCAAGAGTAAATACGTCAACTAATGTACTCTTCAAGAGTAAATACGTCAACTAATGTACTCTTCAAGAGTGAATACGTCAACTAATGTACTCTTTAAGACTGAATACGTTAACTAATGTACTCTTCAAAAGTGAATTCGTCAAATTATGTACTCTTCAAGAGTGAATACGTTAACTAATGTACTCTTCAAAAGTGAATACGTCAAATAATGTACTCTTCAAGAGTGAATACGTTAACTAATGTACTCTTCAAAAGTTAATACGTCAAATAATGTACTCTTCAATATTAACCATTACAAAAAATGATCAACAAAACCAGTAGATCAATAATTTTACGCTTTTTAAAAATATAATACAAGAAAAGTTTCAAACTGCCTAGGACACCATTAACTTATTGGAAGTTACTCAAAACGCATAAAACAGTAGACAATTCTCGCCATTACAGGAACAAAGTTATTATTTATAAATACTCATTCCAAATACTTCAAATTATATAAAAAAAATTATATCATATGATTTACTGAAATGTATGTATCTAAAGATTGTATTAATGCTGTCTATGGACAGTATGTGAGACTGTGTTTTGTATGTAATCTGTATTAAAGTCTCGTTCGTGATGTGTTCTGTAACGATGTGTCGTTCGTGTTTGGTTTGAGCTATCAACCTCTCAATGGTCATTAAGACTACCGCAATAGTTTACTGCTGACCAATTAGCAAGTATAGTCTAATAACGAAGTTGTTCAGGACCTAATGTAAACCCACAAATGTGTGGGTTTACATTAACAGGTGACAACAGTTGTTTTGTGAGGCCATTAAGTTACCTTCTTTCTTATAATTCCTTTCCTCCACTTATTTTTGGTGGTCAGGTCTACTTTGCTCTGATGAAGGCGAATTTGCCGAAAACGCGTTAAGCATTTTCTGTACCTAGTAGCCAGAACGCACTTCTGAGCCTAATATGCAAGGCCCGATTTGCCTAATAAGCCAAGTTTTCCTGAATTAATAAATTTTCTCTAATTTTTTACTTATGAAATGATAAAGCTACCCATTTCATTATGTAAGAGGTCAATTTTTTTTTATTCGAGTTAAAATTAACGTATATGTGTGACCGAACCTAACCAACTCTACCTAACCTAACCTATCTTTATAAGTTTTGAGAAGAGCGTTCTGGCTACTAGGTACGACATATATATATATATATATATATATATATATATATATATATATATATATATATATATATATATATATATATATATATATATATATATATACTGGGAAATGGGTTATACCTCTCAGTGTATTTTCATTTCTTGTGTTGAAGGTCTCTCTGCACTGATGTCTCCGTGACACCCGTGCCATCAGTGCAGGGGGACAGCGTTGACGGCACGGGTAGGATACGAATGAGGCTTTGATCTGTCTAATCTACTGTAGCGAAATCCGTCCAGTGCACCCACCCACACACCCTGACACACACGCACACGTAACTAGAGCCAACCAACGCTGCACCTAGACAGGTCAACGCTCTCTACACTCACCTGTAATCCTGCAGAGGTGAGACCATACGACAAGACGGTGGAGATCACGGAGCTGGAGGTGCCAGAGTCGCCCAGGGCAGGAGACGACGTCACCCTCACCTGTCGCTTCAAGCTGCACGGCAGCGGACACAACGTCTATACCGTCAACTGGTGGCGGGGCAAGGACCAGTTCTACACCTACAAGGGCACCAACCACGACTCCAAACATCCCTTCACCTTTCGCGGTATACAGGTGAAAGTGAGTAGTGCAACCATGCTTTCTTGCCGACCATGTTGTCTTGTAACCATGCTGGCTGACAACCATGCTGGCTGGCTGACAACCATGCTGGCTGACAACCATGCTGTCTTACAATCATGTTGGCTGGCAACCATGCTGTCTTACAACCATGTTGGCTGGAAACCATGCTGTCTTACAACTATGTTGGCTGGCAACCGTGATGTCTTACAACCATACTGTCTAGAAACTCCCTATAATCCTCCATTGAGGCGACGACACTCTCTGCAAACCATTACATATCGACCACATTAGGCGACTACACCCGTTAATCAAACAATAAGTTAAGAAAATACTCAGAATCTTATATATTGTTAGATAACGAGATCTGATCTCATTCCATTGCTTGCGGGATCGCTTTCACGAAACTAATGTTTAATGTTTTGATAACACTCAATATCGCTATTATTATTTTGTTCCCAATGTTTTGTTAGATGTCAGGTCATGTATTTATATACAGAAATTGAATGAATATGTTTAATAGATAAGGCACATGTTCCTTTGTCAATAGTTTTGATATACTGTCTCTCATTCTCTCTCTCTCTCTCTCTGTCTCACTAGAAGGAGGAGTCGACGCGGGAGTCAGTTGTACTCAAGAATGTATCTGAAGACACTTCAGGGGTCTTCAAGTGTGAGGTGATGGGTGAGGGTCCCTCCTTCAGGACAGCTGTCGAGACCAAGGTCATGAATGTCATAGGTGAGTGATGGGGGATGGAAAGGGGAGGGGGATATAGGGATGGAAAAGGTGATGGTATAATGGAAGGAAAAGTATATTAAAACAAATCAACCAAGAAATACGGCGCACACGACAAAACGTGTTAAAGTAGAATTATATACTTTAACAATTATATACTGCAAAATACCCACATGACCAATGGGAACACTGTTGTATAACATTATCTTAAGAACAAAATCTCTTAATTTAAGACAATATGGCACAAAATAGGCCCAGTTGGCCCTCTTCTCTAACATTGCAACATAAAATGCAATTGCTAAAAGGTGACCGCTTCCCCCCCGTCCCCCTATCAAAAGAAAGAAACTGAATTAATACCAACCCGGCCCCGCACAGTCAAGCAGCCTCTGTCTGTGTACCACTGGAACGACCCAATACAGCAAAATAACCGAGGGACGAGAAGCTCCTATACGGCTGGGAACTGGCCAGTTCCAGAGTCCGGCTCGGCACCGACCTTGACACTCACATACATAGTTGGCATTGTTCATTTAAGCTGGTAGATTGGCACTCAGGGCAGGCCACTCTGTTCTATGGCTATCGTTAAGCTTGGCTCCCCTGTTTCTACGTGTTTATGGAAGTCGGTCTGTACGTTTGTATATAATGGTGTTACTGATCCAGCCGTCTGTCTGTCTGTCTCTGTCTGTCTCTCTTGCTCTGGGAGACGGGGAGGAATAAGGCAGAGAGAAGGGCGTGAGGAAGATGATTGACGTGCAGAAAACAAAGGAAAGTGTGAGCGGGTGTTGTGAGAGTGAGGTGTGTCGGGGAGAGAGTGGAGTGTGTCAGAGACAGAGTGGAGTGTGTCAGAGACAGAGTGGAGTGTGTCAGAGACAGAGTGGAGTGTGTCAGAGACAGAGTGGAGTGTGTCAGAGACAGAGTGGAGTGTGTCAGAGACAGAGTGGAGTGTATCAGAGACAGAGTGGAGTGTGTCAGAGAGAGAGAATGGAGTGAGTAGTTAGTGAGAGAATGAAATGTGTCGGAGATATATTGGTGTGTGTCAGAGAGGTGTCAGAGAGAGACAGTGGAGTGTCTCAGAGAGTTGAGTGTATCAGAAAGAGTGGAGAGTATTAGAGAAAGAGTCGAATGTGTATTAAAGAGAGGAAAAATATGTTGTTACTTCAGACAAGGATAAATGTTTGAGATTAGAAACACAGAAACGCATGGGAATAAAGAGATTAATGTGTGCAGTAGTGGAGAGGGGAGTATGTGAGTGGTAGATATGTAGTGGCAGAGATTGGGAGAGAGGAGGGGGATTAAATGAGTGAGGAGAGGCAAGGGGGAATACAGGTATATGAGTGGGAGTTATAGAAGTGTATAGAGTGAGGTATGTACGTGTGAGGTGAGGGGTAGAGTCCGTGGGGTATATGTGCCGGGGTGTGAGTGGGAGGTATAAACTGAGAAAAGACTGAGAGAGAGAGAGAGAGATAGAGATACTGATTGATTGATAGATTAGTTTATTAACAACTGACGTGTCCATGCTCTTACAATGGCACTTAGAAGGCAAGCACTTTCGTTTTGCCTTCTAAGGACAGAGCTAAAGACCTGCTTCACTACTTCAAGTGTTGCAGGTTATTGAGCTCTCAACCACAAATGGTAATTTAGGGGAGGATTTTAAAAATAACATTTCAGAAATGATGATAACCAGCACATATTATTTTTATCTTTCCTCCATAGACAGAATTAGAGAACGCTCACAAAACTTAGTGCACTTTGGGACTCTCAACCACAGAGAGCAATAGATGTTCTTTTCCTAGTTCAAACTATAATTGCATCGCATATTACACAGTTAGTAAAGCTCGGGTACAGCTTCAATATATCAAGTTTTCAAGTATTCAGAAGATATTTACAGAGTTCAGCATATTTCAACCCACGGGAGGGGGCGGAGGCGGAAGTCAGCCAATAAGGGATTTATTATACGATATAATGTTCAGAACATATTTTTTTGTTACATTTTCACAACGTTGATACTGAAAGAGAGGGATGAGGAGGATTATACAGGTGAGAGGGATATGGTGAGAAGGGGGGAGGCGACGCTGGAGAAAGGGATGTGTAAAGTGTGAGAGGGGTGTATGGGTGTAGAGAAAGGCGTGTGTGGGTGTAGAGAGAGAGAAGGGTGTATGGGTGTAGAGAGAGAGAAGGGTGTATGGGTGTAGAGAGAGAGAAGGGTGTATGGGTGTAGAGAGAGAGAAGGGTGTGTGGGTGTAGAGAGAGAGAAGGGTGTGTGAGTGTAGAGAGAGAGAAGGGTGCGTGGGTGTAGAGAGAAGGGTGTGTGTGAGTGTAGGACAAAAAAAGTCCATTGGGTGTTGAGTGGGGTGTGAAGTGATAGAGAAAAGGATGCGAGAGGAGATGAAAGGGACGCTGTAGACAGGTACAGAATAGTTCATCAATTAACCTCTGACGCCATAATAACAAGATGAACAACAGCACACACACAGTACACCCAAACACGGAGATACTACATTCCAGGATTGACTCCCCATTCATAACCCTTACCTTTTATGTATGTTTTTTTTGTTTTTTTTTTGGGGGGAGGGGGGCGTGAACATCTAGTTACACCTAAATAAATCCATCTATCTATAATCTATCCATAAATCCATCAACTTTTATATCTTACCTTGTATGTATGTAACTTACCTGAATAAAAGTTTATTTATTATTATTTATAAATGAATGAACTAGCATTATTATTCATCCCCTGTTGTGGAATCTCCCATGATTATAGCTCAGTGATCTAGACAACCAGCCTTTCATGATAACTATTGAGCGTAGCCTCACCGCTTATTAAGATATTTTAACAAATTCATTTCGCAAATTAATCAAACACCAAAAGGCCCTCGTTAACGCCCATCTAACCACCAAGAGTGCCACTGAAATCTTACTTCAACCATCATTAATGACAGTTTAAAAATCTTGCTGTATAGCCACCTAGCCTTAAATTATCTTACCGAGTCATATGGGTGTCCCCTTAAATCTTAACCCATTCATGCAGAAGGCCTCCTAACCACCTATCCCCCCCCAACCTATCCATCCCCAGTGCCGCCGAAGACCGTGGAGGTACACTCCTGGGCCGACCCAGACCCGCCCACCTACCGTGCGGGTGAAACTATCCAGATTAACTGCACGGCTAGAGGCGCCAAGCCCAGAGCTCACATTATGTGGGAGATCAACGGAAGACCGGTGAGTTGTGGTGAGTTCGCGGCCAAGGTTGTGGTGAGTTGGCTGGCCATGGTTGTGGTGAGTTGGCGGCCATGGTTGTGGTGAGTTGGTGGGTCATGGTTGTGGTGAGTTGTGGTGAGTTGGCGGGCCATGGTTGTGGTGAGTTGGCGGCCATGGTTGTGGTGAGTTGGCGGGCCATGGTTGTGGTCAGTTGGCGGGTCATGGTTGTGGTGAGTTGGCGGCCATATTTGTGGTGAGTTGGCGGGTCATGGTTGTGGTGAGTTGGCGGCCATGGTTGTGGTGAGTTGGCTGGTCATGGTTGTGGTGAGTTGGCGGCCATGGTTGTGGTGAGTTGGCGGGTCATGGTTGTGGTGAGTTGGCGGGCCATGGTTGTGGTGAGTTGGCGGGCCATGGTTGTGGTGAGTTGGCGGGTCATGGTTGTGGTGAGTTGGCGGCCATGGTTGTGGTGAGTTGGCGGGTCATGGTTGTGGTGAGTTGGCGGCCATGGTTGTGGTGAGTTGGCGGGTCATGGTTGTGGTGAGTTGGCGGGTCATGGTTGTGGTGAGTTGGCGGGTCATGGTTGTGGTGAGTTGGTGGGCCATGGTTGTGGTGAGTTGGCGGGCCATGGTTGTGGTGAGTTGGCGGGTCATGGTTGTGGTGAGTTGGCGGCCATGGTTGTGGTGAGTTGGCGGGTCATGGTTGTGGTGAGTTGGCGGCCATGGTTGTTGTGAGTTGGCGGGTCATGGTTGTGGTGAGTTGGTGGGCCATGGTTGTGGTGAGTTGGCGGCCATGGTTGTGGTGAATTGGCGGGTCATGGTTGTGGTGAATTGGCGGCCATGGTTGTGGTGAGTTGGCGGGTCATGGTTGTGGTGAGTTGGCGGCCATGGTTGTGGTGAGTTGGCGGGTCATGGTTGTGGTGAGTTGGCGGGTCATGGTTGTGGTGAGTTGGCGGGTCATGGTTGTGGTGAGTTGGCGGGTCATGGTTGTGGTGAGTTGGTGGGTCATGGTTGTGGTGAGTTGGCGGGTCATGGTTGTGGTGAGTTGGCGGGTCATGGTTGTGGTGAGTTGGTGGGTCATGGTTGTGGTGAGTTGGCGGGCCATGGTTGTGGTGAGTTGGCGGGCCATGGTTGTGGTGAGTTGGTGGGTCATGGTTGTGGTGAGTTGGTGGGCCATGGTTGTGGTGAGATGCCGGCCATGGTTGTGGTGAGTTGGTGGGTCATGGTTGTGGTGAGTTGGCGGGTCATGGTTGTGGTGAGTTGGCGGGTCATGGTTGTGGTGAGTTGGTGGGTCATGGTTGTGGTGAGTTGGCGGGGCATGGTTGTGGTGAGTTGGCGGGCCATGGTTGTGGTGAGTTGGTGGGTCATGGTTGTGGTGAGTTGGCGGGTCATGGTTGTGGTGAGTTGGCGGGTCATGTTTGTGGTGAGTTGGCGGGTCATGGTTGTGGTGAGTTGGCGGGTCATGGTTGTGGTGAGTTGGCGGGTCATGGTTGTGGTGAGTTGGCGGGGCATGGTTGTGGTGAGTTGGCGGGTCATGGTTGTGGTGAGTTGGCGGGTCATGGTTGTGGTGAGTTGGCGGGTCATGGTTGTGGTGAGTTGGCGGGTCATAGTTGTGGTGAGTTGGCGGGCATGGTTGTGGTGAGTTGGCGGGTCATGGTTGTGGTGAGTTGGCGGCCATGGTTGTGGTGAGTTGGCGGTCATGGTTGTGGTGAGTTGGCGGGTCATGGTTGTGGTGAGTTGGCGGGCCATGGTTGTGGTGAGTTGGCGGGTCATGATTGTGGTGAGTTGGCGGCCATGGTTGTGGTGAGTTGGCGGCCATGGTTGTGATGAGTTGGCGGCCATGGTTGTGCTGAGTTGGTGGGTCATGGTTGTGGTGAGTTGGCTTGTCATGGTTGTGGTGAGTTGGCGGCCATGGTTGTGGTGAGTTGGCGGGTCATGGTTGTGGTGAGTTGGCGGGACATGGTTGTGGTGAGTTGGCGGGCCATGGTTGTGGTGAGTTGGCGGGTCATGATTGTGGTGAGTTGGCGGCCATGGTTGTGGTGAGTTGGTGGGTCATGGTTGTGGTGAGTTGGCGGCCATGGTTGTGGTGAGTTGGCGGCCATGGTTGTGGTAGCTGGCGGCCATGGTTGTGATGAGTTGGCGGCCATGGTTGTGATGAGTTGCATGGTTGTGGTGTGGGTGGGTCATGGTTGTGGTGAGTTGGCGGGTCATGGTTGTGGTGAGTTGGCGGCCATGGTTGTGGTGAGTTGGCGGGTCATGGTTGTGGTGAGTTGGCGGGTCATGGTTGTGGTGAGTTGGCGGGCCATGGTTGTGGTGAGTTGGCGGGTCATGATTGTGGTGAGTTGGCGGCCATGGTTGTGGTGAGTTGGCGGGTCATGGTTGTGGTGAGTTGGTGGGTCATGGTTGTGGTGAGTTGGCGGGCCATGGTTGTGGTGAGTTGGCGGGACATGGTTGTGGTGAGTTGGCGGGTCATGGTTGTGGTGAGTTGGTGGGCCATGGTTGTGGTGAGTTGGTGGGTCAAGGTTGTGGTGAGTTGGCGGGTCATGGTTGTGGTGAGTTGGCGGCCATGGTTGCGGTGAGTTGGCGGGTCATGGTTGTGGTGAGTTGGTGGGTCATGGTTGTGGTGAGTTGGCGGGTCATGGATGTGGTTAGTTGGTGGGCCAAGGTAGTGGGGAGTTGGCGGGCGCGGGTTGTGGTGAGTTGGCGGGTCATGGTTGTGGTGAGATGGCGGCCATGGTTGTGGTGAGTTGGCGGGTCATGGTTGTGGTGAGTTGGGGGCCATGGTTGTGGTGAGTTGGTGGGTCATGGTTGTGGTGAGTTGGCGGCCATGGTTGTGGTGAGTTGGCGGGTCATGGTTGTGGTGAGTTGGTGGGCCATGGTTGTGGTGAGTTGGTGGCCATGGTTGTGGTGAATTGGCGGGTCATGGTTGTGGTGAGTTGGCGGGTCATGGTTGTGGTGAGTTGGTGGGTCATGGTTGTGGTGAGTTGGCGGGCCATGGTTGTGGTGAGTTGGCGGGCCATGGTTGTGGTGAGTTGGGGGGTCATGGTTGTGGTGAGTTGGCGGGTCATGGTTGTGGTGAGTTGGCGGGTCATGTTTGTGGTGAGTTGGCGGGTCATGGTTGTGGTGAGTTGGCGGGTCATGGTTGTGGTGAGTTGGCGGGTCATGGTTGTGGTGAGTTGGCGGGTCATGGTTGTGGTGAGTTGGCGGGTCATGGTTGTGGTGAGTTGGCGGGTCATGGTTGTGGTGAGTTGGCGGGTCATGGTTGTGGTGAGTTGGCGGGTCATAGTTGTGGTGAGTTGGCGGGCATGGTTGTGGTGAGTTGGCGGGTCATGGTTGTGGTGAGTTGGCGGCCATGGTTGTGGTGAGTTGGCGGTCATGGTTGTGGTGAGTTGGCGGGTCATGGTTGTGGTGAGTTGGCGGGCCATGGTTGTGGTGAGTTGGCGGGTCATGATTGTGGTGAGTTGGCGGCCATGGTTGTGGTGAGTTGGCGGCCATGGTTGTGATGAGTTGGCGGCCATGGTTGTGCTGAGTTGGTGGGTCATGGTTGTGGTGAGTTGGCTTGTCATGGTTGTGGTGAGTTGGCGGCCATGGTTGTGGTGAGTTGGCGGGTCATGGTTGTGGTGAGTTGGCGGGACATGGTTGTGGTGAGTTGGCGGGCCATGGTTGTGGTGAGTTGGCGGGTCATGATTGTGGTGAGTTGGCGGCCATGGTTGTGGTGAGTTGGTGGGTCATGGTTGTGGTGAGTTGGCGGCCATGGTTGTGGTGAGTTGGCGGCCATGGTTGTGGTAGCTGGCGGCCATGGTTGTGATGAGTTGGCGGCCATGGTTGTGATGAGTTGGTGGGTCATGGTTGTGGTGAGTTGGCGGGTCATGGTTGTGGTGAGTTGGCGGCCATGGTTGTGGTGAGTTGGCGGGTCATGGTTGTGGTGAGTTGGCGGGTCATGGTTGTGGTGAGTTGGCGGGCCATGGTTGTGGTGAGTTGGCGGGTCATGATTGTGGTGAGTTGGCGGCCATGGTTGTGGTGAGTTGGCGGGTCATGGTTGTGGTGAGTTGGTGGGTCATGGTTGTGGTGAGTTGGCGGGCCATGGTTGTGGTGAGTTGGCGGGACATGGTTGTGGTGAGTTGGCGGGTCATGGTTGTGGTGAGTTGGTGGGCCATGGTTGTGGTGAGTTGGTGGGTCAAGGTTGTGGTGAGTTGGCGGGTCATGGTTGTGGTGAGTTGGCGGCCATGGTTGCGGTGAGTTGGCGGGTCATGGTTGTGGTGAGTTGGTGGGTCATGGTTGTGGTGAGTTGGCGGGTCATGGTTGTGGTTAGTTGGTGGGCCATGGTTGTGGTGAGTTGGCGGGCCATGGTTGTGGTGAGTTGGCGGGTCATGGTTGTGGTGAGATGGCGGCCATGGTTGTGGTGAGTTGGCGGGTCATGGTTGTGGTGAGTTGGGGGCCATGGTTGTGGTGAGTTGGTGGGTCATGGTTGTGGTGAGTTGGCGGCCATGGTTGTGGTGAGTTGGCGGGTCATGGTTGTGGTGAGTTGGTGGGCCATGGTTGTGGTGAGTTGGTGGCCATGGTTGTGGTGAATTGGCGGGTCATAGTTGTGGTGAATTGGCGACCATGGTTGTGGTGAGTTGGCGGGTCATGGTTGTGGTGAGTTGGTGGGCCGTGGTTGTGGTGAGTTGGTGGCCATGGTTGTGGTGAATTGGCGGGTCATGGTTGTGGTGAATTGGCGACCATGGTTGTGGTGAGTTGGCGGGTCATGGTTGTGGTGAGTTGGTGGGCCATGGTTGTGGTGAGTTGGTGGGTCAAGGTTGTGGTGAGTTGGCGGGTCATGGTTGTGGTGAGTTGGCGGCCATGGTTGCGGTGAGTTGGCGGGTCATGGTTGTGGTGAGTTGGTGGGTCATGGTTGTGGTGAGTTGGCGGGTCATGGTTGTGGTTAGTTGGTGGGCCATGGTTGTGGTGAGTTGGCGGGCCATGGTTGTGGTGAGTTGGCGGGTCATGGTTGTGGTGAGATGGCGGCCATGGTTGTGGTGAGTT